TGATGGATTTCCCCTTATTCATCCTATTTCCTTTTGAGATACGATCCCTTATACCCCACTGAAGCCTTTTTAGTTCATTTTTTAGGACCTTTTTTTCTATTCTTCTTCTGGGCCTTTCCAGATTCAGTCACCTTTTTATTAAGGATTCTCTCCTTTTCATCTTCTTTGTCTTTTCTCACAATTCCCAAAGTTCCGGCTATATTGTTCATTCCCAAATTCTGTGTCTCCTTCCTGCCACTGCTTGGTGGAACAGCTGTCTGAATTGGAACGATCTGCATTGGGTGGGATGGCAACTCATTTGAACCTGAAAGAGTGGAAGGGGAAAGAAGACAGTGAGAAGTAGAAGCAGAGCAAGAAAAAGGAGGCTGAAGAGAAGACAGAACCAAATGGGAGGCGGGGGAACTCCCTGAGTGTGATTTATGGTTTTGATCAGGAAAGGAGGCTGACGAATCTCTCCCTTGTCTACGAACAAGGGGGTCTGATTCTGAAGACATTCCGTAGCTTGGATAGATTAACTGGGTCTGTTCGAGAATCTCCACACATCCCCGACTCCCTTTGTCTGCAAACAGGTCTTTAACTCTTTTAAGAGTGAACTCACGAGGGTCTGGATCTACTTCAGTAGCATACGAGCTGAGGGTCGTCCTCTGTGTCTTTTTCACTGGCGGATGGCATGCCAGAGCTCACGGACGGAGTTGGAGCCATGAAAACTTTACCCAGATGCTGGCCTGAACTGGGAGGAGTTGAACCGCCTGACTGAAAGTGGGGGTTGCTGGTGGGCTTAGGGTGCTAGATGGGCCGGAAGACTTATGTGGGCCTTGGGATTGAGAAGAGCAGCCCAAGTTTTCAAACCGGCTGGGAGTTGGGACAAAATTGGCAATCCTGGAATTAGGGGGGGCTTTTGAGATTTGAGACTTTTTAATAAGGGGTTGCACCTGTCCAACTTCTTCACGTCTTTTGAGCTCCACTATGCCTTTAGATTTGGAGGAGAGCTCCTGCACAGATTCACGAGGAGCCACCACCGACTTTTCGACTTCTCTGTGCATGCTCTGCTGCGGCCAGATCTCTGAGCAACAAAGGTGGAAGTGCCATGTGGAGGAGAGACCTTTGGATGAACTGACTCGGAGAGACCGGAAGGTGACTCGTGCGTCTTCTCCACCTCCACAGAGATGTAGTACCAGATGTTTCTATCCAGAACAGGGATTGAATGAGGGATGGCATGAATACCACAGTTTTTCACCCTAATTCTGGCAAAACTTAACTCAGAGAAATTCAAAGATCGGGGATCTTGTCTTCAAGACCTCCGCAGGTGTCTCCTGTCAGAGAAAAGATTTCCTTCGTCCAAAGGTGGAATGGAAGCCCTCTTAACTCGAGCCAACCGTTGAACCTCAACTGATCAGGGGCTGCATCAATCTTTGGCCACAAGCGTTCAATTTGAACCCAGTCACCAAAGACGAAGATTGCTTCGAGATTGGTCCAAGAGATCATCAAGTCCTCTGAAGGGGCAAAGCCAACTGCTTTGTTTTGTTCAAAAGGGCGCAGTTTCAACATGGATTCAGAATGCAAATTTGCAGACAGTCTGGCTTCAACTTCATCCCAACTTAATGCAGGTGTTTTCGTACAGACGAAAGCCAAACTCTAGTTTCCAAATGGCTTTCCCTGATGTGCAATTGAAAGAAACGCAGACCCTCCAGATTTTATGATTTTGCTTTTGACTTGGAGTGATGGAAAGGCTTCTTGCGTGAGATTAGTATGGCGGGGTTTCAATCTAGGTGGAACAGCCCAGTCCAAAATTTGGATGGAGTTCCAGCCACCGGAAGTTGGTTCTTCTGGGATACAAATCTGTCTTACCTTGTCTGCTCAAACGGATGAATCTGCCCCAGGAATTTGATTTAAGTTGTAAATATAGGATTACTCCCTTGAACACTCTCTTACGGTCTGCTATAGGCACCCAAATGCAAAAGTATAAAAGAACAAAAAGGACAAAAATGCCCTTGCACCATAAATATTTAGAGCAAACGAATTAGTTATTTGAAAGAAAACCCCGAAAAACTGACCTGAATGGCATCCCAGTCTAGAAAAACCAGATTTCTTGTCTCGATCAGAACAGTCCAAGAAAGAAGGATATGCCAGTTCGAATAGGTTGAGAAATAAACCCAACTTGATGCTGAATATGAGAGAACAGTCTGAGATCAAATCCAAATAGAACAAACTCGCGTCCACAGTAGCCGTGAGCAGTAACTCGATTATTTGTCTTGGTTCACCAAACTAATTCCCACACTAAACCTGTTCTCATACGAGAGAGAGAGAGCACAGCAGATTTGGGGTGTCTCTAATGACTTGACTGTTTATATTGAAAGATGCAAAAGGACACGTCTATCCTTATAAGGCAATAAATGTTTATATTAAAAGATGCAAAAGGACACTCCTATCCTTACAAGGTAATAAGTAATGTACATATAAAGAATAGAAAATTAATGGTACGACAAGACAGCAAAATTACAATTCAGCTCTCACTATCTTCCTCTCTACACATCCTTCTTCTTTAGGCGGACGATGTCGAGACAAGAGAAACAGACCTGTGGGTTACTGGTAAGTTTTGGTGATGTCATAGGAAACAGGGGAGAATGCAATAAATAATAGGGAAAAGTACGAATACACAATGCAGAATTCTGAATTCCAGCTACCCCCTATAAACCACATCCTGCCCGTGAATTTGGCATCAATTCACGGTCAGGATGCATTCCCCCTGTACTTTGTGGCTAGTAAATTCTGAGCTGGGCTGATTGGTACTTCTCCCTAAATAATACCCCATCTCAGATTTCATGCTTGGATTGTGTCTGAGTTGTTCAGGTGAGGCTCAGTGTAGTAGTACAGAGAGTATGTCTGAATGGTGGTTGTGGAATTTCATTGGTGGTATTGTCAGTGGCTTCTGGTGGCAGTGATGATAGTGGATTTGCTCACGACGATTGGGAATCTAACCCAAAATGAGAAAAAAAAATGAGAGAGACACCAAGTTACAGAACTCTGTAGCTGCCACAACCGGAACAGTTGGCAGAGGGATATTTTAGGGTTCATTTGATTCACAACTGGAATTAAATCAAAAACCATTGGAGTCGGAATCAGAATGGCCTATTCCAATAGTCCGGTTCAGACTGGAATAAGAATGTGAATTGGAATCAGCTGGAATGGGATTTAATTTTCAAGAGAGGGGAAGGGAATGACCATTCCCTCAAATGGGTGAATGCCATTCCACTAGGAATGGGAATGGGATTTCGATTCTGCCCAACCAAACATTTGGAATTGAAATGGGTCATTCCGGTTCCGATTCCAAACCCTATTCCCATGAACCAAACGGGCCCTTAGTCATTATAGGCCGGTTTATTAAAAGATGTTTTGTCTACTTTATTTCAGTTTAAGTAGGGTGCCCCATACTTAATTAGGGATTCTTAGAAACGTATAAATATATCTGGTCAGCTGAGGGGTGATCTTTTTCTATCAAGCTTTGACCTTTCTCTCATTCATTCTTTTCCTTCTCTCCTTCTCTTTCTCTATTTCTTTCTCTCTTGCTCCTCTTTTTCTTCAACCCTAGGGCTGAAACCAGGATAACATGACCATTAACGTGGTACTAGGGCGCTTGTAATCAACCCAAAATTCCTCCACCTCTTGTGTTTCCTCTTCCAGTTCTAGTTAATGACCCCATTCCTATGGTTTTAGTTGTGTCCAAAACTTTCGTCTCCTCCAATACAGATTGCTATTGAACGACCACTAATCATACAAGTGTATACTCACAGACAGGTACCGATTCCTCCTCCAATTTCATTTTCCATTGACACAATTGTACTCGTCATCCGGTTTTTAATTATCTTTTTGTTTCTCACATATCTGCCTCCCATCGCTAGTATGTTTTTCTTTTGTTTTCTCTTTTGTTCTTTGTGCCTGTTCTTATTGAGGTCTTCAAATCCAATCAGATTTCAAATCAGGTTTGGATTTTGCTGAATTCAATCTGTTTACAGCCCTAGGAGAGAGAGTGTGGGAAAGAGGGGGAGAGAGAGTGTGAGAGAGAATGAAAGAGAGAGGGGAAGAGGAGGGAGAGAGATAATTTTTGTTTTATAAGTGGCATAATTGTAGATATTTGAATATTTAATGGAAAATATAACATAGGGTGATAGGCAAATGTCATTATTGCTTTTCGTCTTATATAGTGGCATTATCGTAAATATTTGGATGTTTAATAACAATTATGAAACAGGGTCCTCATAGAGCTTAGAATCCCTTGCATGCCTTTTGAATGTGGGATACCATTTACTGCTGGGAGAGGATGGACATGTAATTGGAAAAGATTCCATTTACTGAGGTTTCAAGTGCTTCTGTATACCCATTTTATTGTATTGACAGAGTTTATCATGGCCTTAGATTTATTGCTATGGCTAGGTGGCGCCGTATCAATACATCAAAGGCTTTGATTTTCTTGTTTCAGTGCAGTGCTAAAACATTGTCTCATCAAAAGTGGTTTGAAAAAAGAATCCTCAAATCAATCAATGGACATGCAATCAGGTTGAAACTCAGCCTGAAAAATAAATTTCAAGCCTTATATAACTGGCTAGGCATCCATCTGTGGAGTGTTTAAAACGATGCCTGCATTCCTAATCGAAAAATAAAAGTATTCCCCTAGCTCCATGTGTCCTTACTCTTGTTATGATTCAAATTGGAGGAAACAAATGTCACATTGATGGGCTAAGCTGGTTTTGTTCTAAACATGATGTGTGCACATTTAAATATTGGCATGTTGTCCATCAGTGGATGGTTACTTCTAGCATGCAGCAGCCGTGGATAGTCCGCTGTACTGGCCACAGCACAGACCACTTGATCATACATTGCTTCCCTTGCTAATATAACTACAAGTGTATATTGATTCTAGGTTGCTTTGATATCTTCTTGATATTGATTCCCCTCGTAGTTTTCAGTATTTCACTCATTTTGTATTTCCGTGGCACAAAAAGAATGAGAACGTGATCAATTTGCCTATTAGTATTGGAGGCAGTAGCATCGAAAACCATGATTTCTCTGATGGGCTACATTACTGGGAACTCGATAACTGTGGCGGATATGTTCCTAAAAGTCCAGATTATTATAAAGGAGTGCAGCCGATCGCAGGAAAAAATTATTGTGTTGTTCTTAATCGGAATAGCTACTGGCAAGGTCTGAGACGAGATATCACCGAAAGTGTCTCCGCAGGTACTACTTATACTGTGTCTACTAATGTTAGAGTTTGGGGTCCTGTTCGTGGATTATCTTCAGTCCAAGCCCAACTAACGATATGGGCACCAGAAGGACGTAAATTTGTACTAATAAGAAGGTAGCAACAATTCCTTTTACATAGTAATAATAATAATGGCCTCATTGGAATTTCTTCATAACATTTTCTGACTGCAGAGTCAATGCATCAATGGACGAGTGGGAAAAGTTGGAGGGCACATTCTTGTTAGAGTCTATACCTGGCAGAGTTTATATTGATTTTGAAGGGCCTCCCCCTGGAGTGAACCTGCTAATAAGTCCAGTTATGGTCTATTCTTCCGGTCTCAATGAACAGGAGGTACGCATCTTTATTGGCTTCTTTTTTCAAACCTAATCAATTTTTCAATAGAGAAATTGGCAGATTTGTGAAACGTGTGGTTATATATAAAATCATTGATCTAAATTCATAGTTCTTGTAGGCATTGTAAGACTTGGGTACCAAGAACTGGTGACCTTTCTAACTCCCTAAGGTTGTGTTTGGTTTGAAAGAAAAGCTAGGGGAACCTATACAAAAATTGCCAACCTTTCCTTTCAAACCAAAAACAGCCTAAGGTAAAAATTATGCTTAAGGGAAAAATATGATACGGAAAGGTTCTGACCAATCCAAATCCCCTGTGAATTATGATTCGGGTCTGAACTACTGATTATAGTTCAGTCCCTCTCAGATTTTTTCATTTCATTCAAAACTGTACAAACGCATTAGGATTTCTGAGGGGGACCGACCAATAAAAACCCCTTGATAATATAGTCTTTTGATATTATACTTGAAGTCCCAATTAAACGACAGTTTTCAGTATGATGTCGTTTTTCATGGGGCTAGACGAGAGAGAGCAGCCTATCCCCAAACCCTTACCAACCACTTCTGCTATAACGTCATTTTAGCAATGCGCTAAAACAATGAGATCAAATCCTTTCAATGCATTGTTTTCATAGCATGTTGAATTAGGTGAACTATAATTGTAAATCCATGGTCAGGATTCTTGATTTTAGCACTGCACGAAAACCATGTTGGGACAAAAGTAAACTCACACCCATAACCATCCAATGATGATTCCAGAGGCCGTACCAATGGGCAAGTTAGCACCTTTGTGGCATGATAGCTTTGACGGGAGCCTATTTATAACTTTCCACATTATATTGTCAACATATATTTGGATGTCAGTAATAGCAAGCTTCTACCATTAAACCTTACTTGTTCCATTTTCTTTTCAATGTTTCTCATCGTGAACTTCATTACTTTTGCTTTAAATGGCAGAAAAAGATCAGAAACAGGATTGATTCCCCTATAAGTTCGGGAGGCAACATCATTCTAAACCACGATTTCCATGAAGGGCTGTCATTTTGGAATCTCCATGCTTGCAATGGATTCGTTGCTACAGAATCAAATTACTATGAAGGAGTGCAGCCATACTCGGGAAAGAACTATTGTGTTACTTTGGATCGGACGGAGGATTGGCAAGGATTGGAACAAGATATTACAGATAGTGTATCACCACGTTCTACTTATATCATCTCTGCGTTTTTGAGGGTCTGGGGTGCTGATCAAGAATCATGTCAAATCAATGCCGCACTGAGACTAGAGTACCCTAACTTTGAAACTGCAAAGAAAATCATTGGAAGGTATTGGAAATTTCATTCTCCTTCTCATGCCTGTTTTTCTTCTTTTTCTTTAGATAAATTATTGGGTAAAATATAAAAGCCTCCCCTGTGTTTTCTAACAATCATAAAACCTCCCCTAAATTTTGACCCTAATAAAAACCTCCCCTATAAATTTGGAAAATATATAATCACCTCCCTTCTATTAAGTTTTAAGTAAGTGTGACACTAAAGTTACAAAAGTACCCTAACTACCATTAGGGGTAAATTCCATCTTTGCCTCCAGTTTCACCTGGCCTGATATTTACTTTTCAAAACCCAACTTCACATGTTTGAGCTTTGACTAGTTATAAGAAATCCGACAACCATCTCCGTTGCAAGATTGTTGTTTCAGACCATAAAACAATTTATCAAGAATCCATGGGAGATAACAGGCCCCTGTGCCAATCCCGAGTACAAGAGCACACTATTGAGAGCTCAGTTCCCCCTCATGCTGCTTATATAATTAGATCTGTGTTACCCACCCAACGTAGCAACACACAAACCCCAATGCCCTCTTGGATGCCATTAACCAAGCTTAGGGTTTCAAAATTAGTTCTCATTTCACAATACATGAGAATCGAACATTGGTTTTCTTAGTTTAATCAGTTCCTTATTTAAACCAAATCTTTATTCTGTTAAACCAATCATTTTGTAGAAAAACTTTGGCATTTTCAAGCCATAATGATGCGTTTATTTTGTGCCTAGCTGCCATAAAATGAGATAACATGTGTTTCCTTCCCATTGTCAAACTGTCTTGTGGTATTTACAGAAAAATAGAAACGCTAACGAACCTGAATTTATAGCAAAATAGGACGCAAGTAAGTGTTTAATCCTTGAAAATTTGAAGAAAGATAAAGCAAATAATGATTATAGTTCAATAAGAGGAAGGAACGTTTGATGCACTTAATTGGGTGAACATGTATAACCAGAAGTTCTACAAATAGAGAACAAGAAAGTTGGTTGGATCAGAGAGAGAGAGAGATTTCTGTACGAGGGAAGCAGGTGGCGAGGCTGTTGTGTATTAGATGCTATAAATAAGATATACATTCTTTCAATGAAGAAAGAGTTGAGCAAGGTGAGTTTCGTTCCAAAATTGAGGTTGTTCTGTCTCAACTGTTGTGTTTATCTCCCGTAAGAAGGCAAAGGATCAATGAAACTCACCTTCATCCAACAAGGAACCAAGGATAGCAGTGTCCTTATGAAGATAAAGAGTGGAATAGCTGGTAAGATTAAAACTCCCTGTCAATCATTTTCTAGGCAAAATAATGAGCTACTGAGCTAGGCACTAACGATAAGATGCAAACGAGTTATTCTGAGATTTGCAAACAAATTTGTTCTCTAAAATGCAGAGTAGGATAATGCATATTCCATGAATTGGTCCATTAGATTCAGCACCTAGCTCAAGCTCTCTGTTGGAGAGTGTTGGAATAGTTTACTTTCCATTTATATTTTTATTCTGTTTAGTTAGGGACATTAGGGTCAATTTATTCTGTTTAAAATAGCTTTTTTGTCACTGTTTATGATTAACTACAACAGGGGCACAAGGGTCTTTTCCCTTTTAATTATGGCCGCCCTATATAACATTATAGTCTGGCGCCACCTGATTGAGTTCTTTTTGCCAAAAAACTCTCTTATCTTCTCCCTTCTATCTTCTTTCTCTCCTTCCTTCTTGTTTCCTACTGTTCTTTCTCTGTTAAGATGGTATCAGAGCAGTTCTACTAGGTTTGAGAGAAGATCAAACAAGGTTTTTCCCTTTCATCCTGCTCTCTTCTCTAGACAGATCAGAAAAGTTGACCTATGACTGGTACAAGTTTTCTACCTTTGTTTTCTCTCTTATCTTGGTTGTGTACCAAGTGAAAACTCTATAAAGCAAGTCTGCTGAATGCTGTCAGAAAAATTGAGGTTCAGACTGCATTGTGTGGTCCTGTATCTGAGAAGGGGATATCTGTAAATCATGGATGACCTGTTATTTCCCAGTTTTGGTGTAATTAGAGCATTCTGAGGGTCTCTCCTGGTGGTTAATGTGCTTAGAATTGGTTTAATTAGAGTTTTTTGGAACCGTTAATTCTGTACAAGTCTGAAATCAATCTAAAGATACCTTTTTTTTTGGAGAATTGGTGCTGGTCTGTGTTCAGATTGTGTCCAAACTGAAGTGTGCATGTGGGCTGCTTCTTTGGTGTGTTTCTAGGAACTATTTTTGGTGTCAGGAGGGATCCTAAGTTGTTTGTTCAAATTGAATAATGGATCTAACCATGTCCTCTGAGAATTCTATAACTTTTGGGGTTTCAGGAGGTGAAAACAGAATGAGCGGTGGTATGGATATGAGTTTCCCCATGGCTGTAATTCCCTTTATTGGACTAAACTACCTTGAATGGTATAGGGGAGTTAAACTCTACATTACTTCTAGGGGGAAAATAAGGTATATTAATGGTAAAGTAAAGGAACCAAGGACTAGAAGTGCTGAATATGACAAGTGAAGCCAAAATTGCATGGTGATGTTATGTGGGTTGAAACAGCTTATGAAATATGGGAACAAGCAAAATCTACCTATTTGGAGTAGAGGCACTATGTAAAGATATACAATTGCAAGCTAAATCCTCCACTTGCAAGCAGGGGGACAGAAGTATCTCAATGTACTACTCATATTTAACATCAATTTGGAAGGAATTGGATCATTATCAAAATGTGAATTTGAAGTGTGTTGAAGATGCAAAGACCTACAAGTCACTTGTCTTCCAGCAACGAGTATTTGCTTTTCTTTGGAGTTGAATACTACATATGAGTCTATTAGTGTACAAATCTTGGGAAGTAGGGACTTACCTTCAGTTTAAGAAGTTTATGCCTTGGTTTAGTCTAAAGAGAGTAGAAGAAGTGTGATGAATTGTGTAGAGGGAGATCCAATTGCACTAGCAATCTAAGGAGGTACAAATTCAAATGTCAAATGCTTTTTTAAGAAGGGTGATTCATAGAAGAGAGTGAATGACAAGGACAAGCTTTAGTGCACTCACTATCAAAAGTCCAGGCAAACTAGAGAGATATGTTGGGGCCACCATGGGAAGCCTAAATGGGCTCAGGAATTGAGTAAGAAATCAACATTTTATCAGTGCAAGAAACCAGCCCAGTAGAATCAGGAGCGGCACTCAAGTTCTGACCCCAAGGAAGAGATTGTCAACTCTTTTTGTGACCATTTGGAGTTAATGTGATAGGACACCGCCAAATGGATTTTGGCCTTACTCCTTCTATCTCTGTGTTTACATTAGGTAACACTACTACTGCTTTCCATGTATCATCTCATACATTTGATTCCCCCTGGATAATTGACTCTAGAACCTCAAATCATGACTAGTAAGTCAATTTTATTTTAGACATATAACCTCCTCTTTAGGAGGGATAAGGTGAGATTAGTTGATGAATCATTCTCCACCATAGTCGGCCAAGGAACCATCTTCCTTCCTTTCGGTATATAAATTTCCTATCAATTCTCCACCTAGGATTTGGCAGATGGTCTTTACGTGTTGGAGAATAAAGCCACTCTTGTGGCTACAAAGTCCTTAAGTTCATCTAGTGAGAGCCATGCCTACTTATGGCATAGTCATCGTGCTCATCTTTCTTTAGAGTCATTTAAACTTATGTTTCCAAAGTTATTTAAGCCTTTGTCAGTTAGTGAGTTACAATGTCAGACATGTCAATTGATCAAACATTGTAGTTCTTTTCCTTTAAGAAATAAAAGATCTGAATTTTTGTTTCATATTGTTTATTCTGATATTCGGGGCCTTGTTACTCTATTTTCTGAGACTGGATATAAGTATTTCATTACTTTGATTCATGACTATTCTAGACATACTTGGGTTTCTCCTATGTGATCTAGAGACGAAGTTTCAAAGGGGCCTAGTTTCTCTCTCTCTCTCTCTCTCATCTGGGAATCACATTCCCTATTTTAGAAAACTGCATTTTCAAGAATCATTCTTGAAACAAAACCTGACAAGATCTGAAACCAATAGGAAGTACAGGATATACCTGATACGAAGTAGTAGTAACTCCCAATGAAGGTGTTCTCTCCCAAGGAGAAGACCAAAACCTGCTTTTAATGAAGATGACACAGTGTGTGGTGAAGCAGGATTAGTAGGGTGGCTTTTCAGCAAGAACCGGAATTCTTTAGCAAGAAACGAACAGGGGCTAGTGAGCACAACTTCAGATTGTTTCTTCAACCAAGAAACAATATCAAGAACCTTTCTTGATCAATTCCACAAGTGGAGATCGAACTGGGTAGGGATGGCAAGAATATGAGAGAATTTTGCAGATTGCTATGTCTAAAACTGAGGAATGGTCCCCTATTTATAGTCTTCTTTGGATCAACCTCCTAATCTAATTAGGAGAGAGTTTCTTGATCCAAATTTGATATTTGGATTTGGACTCTTAAATGGATAAGACTTATCTTATCCTTCAGCTAATCCTGATCAGATTAACTAACTTAAGCCCAGTTCAAATTAGGCTTTAGGCCCATTAAGTTTCTGTGCTCACTTACTTCTTAACCTGCTGCCCAGTTGGTTCTCTTTGTATGGCATGGGACTCTTGCATCGATTTGCACATCAGCCACATGGGTTCAGCCCAGCCTTTCTTACAAGGCCTGGCTGAATTCACTGTAGGAGACAGTGAACCCCTGAGTCCATCACCATGGGCTCTTAATGGGCCCAACATTAACACTAAATGATTCTTGGATCCAGCCACCTTATAAAAATCCAAGAACTGTGGGCAGATGTAAGATTAACCCATCAAGTATTGCCCTCAATGGTTTTACACTTAACTTCCTAGTCCATAATGATCAAACACTGCCCGACAAGAGAGGGCCTCTCCCTCAACTACAAGGTACAGTGCTGCACTCTCTACTTACATGGATCCCAGGAATTAAAACCTTTTGCAAACATTTTGAAAGAATAATATATATCTATATAAATATATTTTGCAAAAAACAAATTTGAACGTTTGAAATCAACTGCCGACAGTTTAAGTTTCCATCAGAGAGAGTGTATTCCCTGATCATTCAATTTGTTTGACAAAGGGGTTGATCTAGTCGCTATGATCACCCACTCAGATGAATTCTCGGACTATTCTAACATACCCAAGTTTTGACCCCCTCTAAGAATTTCGTTGATTGGCATATCAAAGACATCCCAATCCAACACCTAGTGTAGTATCATAATCGAGTCTAGGGATCAGGTGTAATATTCTCGTTTTGCCTAACTATCTCCAAGGCCCAGGGCAATAATGGAATTTGGTTTGGTTCAGGGTTTCAAGAAAACCCACACTGCATGTACCTTAGGTCTCACCCTGGCAATTGAGACCCAACCAACTTGGCGGCATTTCAGTGCTAACCTTGGCAGGATAAATCTCCCTAGATCTATCTAACGGTTATGAAAATTCTAAACTAACATGAGTCTCACAAGTGTCCAGTTTAAAGGTATTACACAAACACACCAAATCACATGAATCAATTATATACTTTATCCATTTACCTAAATGACATATGTACATCAATCTGATTGTAGCTAAGGGCATACATTGTCTAACAAAAAAGAAGGGGGTGGAGCCCCTGTTTTAGTCCAACAATATGATTCAAACCAAGAAAGGAGAACGGTTTTAGTCCAACAAAAAGGAAGAGGAGAAAAATGGGCGTAACCATTGTTTTAAACCAATGGAAAAAAGAGAACAAAACGGAGGAAACTGATTAACTCACCTTGACTTGGTTCAATTTTTTTGTCAAAGTGAAACCCTTGAGATTATTTTGTTTCTACTTGCAACAAAAACATGATAACATGCAACATGTCCTATTACAAAAACTAAAACCAACCAATAAAATATTTTATATTTTATATATTTATTTTTATTTAAGAATTATTGTATATTATATATGTGTTTCATTCCCCTAAGCATGTGCCTAATACATTTTTTCTTGGCATATGCGTGAGGCTCTCTTTGACAACTATGGTATAGAAATGTTTTTCGTCTAAAATGTTAATGGAAGAAAGGCAATTGTATATGTGTTTCAGTCCCCTAAGCATGTGTCTAATACATTTTTTCTTGGCGTTTGGTCGAGGCGCTCTTTGAAAGCGCCTAGTCGCTTACGCATTTTGCCTTGACAACTATGGTATAGAAGTGTTTTCCATCTAAGAAGTTAATGGAAGAAAGGCAATTGTATATTTTTTTAAAACTATTGGGGAGGTTTTTGTTAAAATAAAAATCCAATGGAGGTTCATATGATTATCAGAAAACTCAGGGGAGGTCTTTATATTTTACCCTAAATTATTTATACCTCCCTTCAGATTTTGTTCATATATTTATGCTACTTCTCAAGTTTATCAAATACTCCTTTTAACCATGAAGCAATAGGTCATTTGTTAATGAAAGTATGGAATTAATTATGACAAAAATTGATCTTTTATCAAAGATGCTCTCAATAATAATTGTGCTCCAAAATGCACATTTTGAAATTGACAAAAATACCCTCATCTGTAAATATTAAATACAGTTATACCATATAAAATCTTTAATTCCATTTTGTTTTTTCTGAACTAAGTTTTAAATTTTCTTTTCCATGTTAATGTTATTGTAGAAAAAGATTTTCCTTTTAAGATTTATGAATAGGAGCCTTGTACACATGCAAGTATTGTCAGCGATCCTACCTAAATTAGATGGTGGAGTATTCTTGTACAAAAGACTTGTTTGCTTGATTATAAAAAGGAAAAGAAAAAAGGACTTGTTTGGCTAGCAGCATTGCCCATCATGTAATTGGTTGTTTGTTGACATTTTGTGGATATAGAGTTACTGTCAAAGCGGATTCTTGGGTGATGTTGGATGGCACGTTCTTATTGGAAACCATGCCTAGGCAGGTCATATTTTACTTTGATGGGCCGGCTCCTGGTGTAGTTCTACTCATAGACTCAGTTGTGATTGAAGAGCATAAGGTATGCATCTTGTCACTATTACTTTTCAACCTAATTTAAATTCAAGCATGGCTTTCCAACTCAAATTTTTACTTGGCTCTACAAGGCTAGGAATGAAGTGGACTCCAGAGTAGTAGAATTGAATCAAAGCACATTACATTTTTAGAAATCTTTAGCATGTGACTATTTTATATTATATTTTGGTTCTATTACAAATTTTATACACCCATAATCACATCCAAACATAAAAACTATTGTCTACCAATGAGAAAGTAGTATGAGGCATAAACAATATTTGACTTTCATTAATTTATTTAAAATTTCTATGTAAAAGTGCAAAAGCTAAAATATCTATAATATGAATTTTTAAGCACCCAACACATCTCTCTAGCATCCTAAATGGTTCATATATTGATATTAGCATAAATTCACAAAAATGAGATGAGAATTTTTTAGTAATTAATTATTATTGCTATCACGACATGAGAATTGCCTTCAATTGTAATACTTAATGCACTGGCATGGGAGTATAGTGGTCATTTCCCTATGTATTACACTCTTAGGCCTTGTTCATTTTCTGGGAAGTGGGGGCTGGTAAGTTGGTGGGTCCCACAGAAAAAGAAATAAACCCATGTTCATATTTTGGTATTAGTGGGTCTCACAAAAAAGAATCATTCCCAAGTGACTCATTTACCTGGGAAAGTAATGCCCTCTTGAGACTTGGATAAATCACTTAACCATCCATGCAGAAACTTGCCAATACGTGATCGGACAATATTGTCCCTTCAATAATGTAACATTTTTGATAAGATGGTCATTATACACATTTATTTGGGAATAAAAGAACATTGATAAGTGCACTTATCTGGTAAGTGTTCCTAGGAAACACTTTCCTGGATAAGTGCATTTACCCAGGTAAATGACTTATTGAGATGCCAATGAGACCTTGATATAAATAAGATAGTGGGTGTAACGACTCTCGTAACATTCTCTGGAAAATTGTCTTTTCCTCTATTGTTCTTACGTTGTTCATCCCAATTCTGAATAAAGTAGGAGGGTTGTGTCAGGCTGGCAGCTGGAACAAAACCTTTGCCAAGCTCCTATGATCATGGATCTTAATTTGTCCTTTTGTGTTTATGCTAGGGCATTCTTTGGAAGCAATGTGCTATACCTTAGCCTAGGTGTAGTGTCAAATGGGCAAGGATAATATTAGGACAGTCCTCAGAAATGACCTGCCACGCAATGCTTGGTATGGTGTTAAAGGCAACAGTTCTTGCATCCTTCTAGAGGGAGGTGGGTCAAAAAGCAAGAGGCTTGTTACTACTTTTCATGAAGAAAACTGTTTAGATTTATGCTATTCATGAGATGAATGAAGTTGCCATGAGAAGATGTGTGATTCAACCAAGTATAGTGACAAGTTCAGATTAATCATAGTGAAAGGTGATTCAGATAATGGTCAAGTTAAATACCAAAACAAAAAAGAAAAAATAATGATTAAGTTGGTAAATTTTCTCTTTTCTGGTACTACTTCAGATCGATTATTGTGTGTGAAGCTAGTTTAAGGCTCCTTTTTGGTTTGGTTTATATATTTGTGCGAGGGCATGGACTCCAGACCAATAATCATGGTGTCAATAGACTTACATGTTCATCTAGATAAATGGAAGTGGTAAACATTTTGTTTGGGCCGAATTACTTGAAGTTTTGCTTAAAGTGAAAAGGCATATATGTTGAGAAATGGTGTTAACAAATTAAGATAGGGGGAGAAACCCTTGGTAGTATACTACTCTATGTTAAAAATACTTTGGCAAGAGATAGATTTGATGGAGACAGTAGTTTGGAAAAATACAAAAGATTTTGAGACGTGTAGAAAATTGGTGGAGAGAAATAGGGTCTTTGAATTCTTGATAAAGCTCAACCCTAAGTACAACATTACTATGCAAAATGTCTTGTCCAAAGATGATATCACTCTATCAAAGCCATTACTATGGTTAGTGGTGAGGAAAGTAGGAAGTAGGTACAAGTTCAAGGTGTAGCACCACATTACCTTTTTTCTAATGTTGAAATAAAACCTAAAGTAGTTGAGGAGAAGAATGATATTATTTCTGAATGTTGCAAGAACTTGAAGCACATAAAGGACACTTGTTGAAAGTTACCCCCTTACCTTTTACTAGCATGTTTCAAAAATTTCAACGAAATCTACTACTGAGCAGCTTGCAGTAGTGAAGATTGATTTTAAGTATGGAAGGTTGATTAATCATCTTTAGAACAGTAGGAAGATTTAGAGATGTGAAGGAGGAGGAGGAGAAGGAAAAGGAAAAGAAAGGTTGTGTCGAGAATGCTTAGTGTGTTACTGTTCACACCAAGAGACTTTTCATCTAACCTCCTGAGAAAAATTACAAAGGGGCCCTTGTATAGGCGCCCAAATACAAACATACATAAATGCCCTTTCATTTAACCTCTTGGGTTTTGGTTTTTACTCATAGTACCTATGGGCAATATTGGTAATAAAAGAGTTTGAAGGTATTAACGTCCCTTAACAGTACACTAGCGATGGTCCTATTTCTGTTATTCTGAGCCAATCAACAAGACGTGTAAGTAGGCATAGGGAAGAGGTTATCAAACCCATGGGTGCAATTACTAGTTCAGTTTTCATATTTCTATTACCACTCTCCACTGGTAGTGAATAAAGTAATTGGATAAAGAAACTCCCAATATGCACTTACAATTTGTGAAGCCACTTTTTGGAACATCTATGTTATGGACGCCTTCCTCGAGAAGACGTACCATCGTTGTCGGCAGCAACAGGCCCCAGGCCCACCGCCAGCAGCGGCAAGGATTCAGTGATGCTCATCCTACCCAGTTCGGCAACAGCAGCCTTATCTAGATTAGATTAGCTCATTTTGCTTGTTCTTATCT